AATACACAGGTATTTATTTTATATTGCTATTACATTATTTGTTGTATAATAGTTCTATAAGGAAAATAGAATTTCTTTTAGTTATTCTTAACAGTTGACACAATCAGGTAATAGGGAATCGATGTTTGTTTTATTTTTGAAATTACTATTTTATTTTATAACTTTTAACAATATTTGAGTTTCTCTATGCTTGGATCAGTTCAAGGATATTCAGTATCGAGTCGTGGGTGGCGAACAATTGCGCAGGTGGCAGGTACGGTAACGAACTTGTCAAATGCTAGTTGGAACTCGTTAGTTTTCAAGCGTATGAAATTGTCTGCTCATGTGTTCTAGAGGTACTATGTTGACTACCTGAAGTTATAACTTGATGGAATATGTTTTGTCACTTGAAAGTCAAAGAGACCGAACACTGATATAATTACAATGAGTAGGTAGTCTGATTAAAAGTTGGTAAAAATTATTCACAATAAGTTTTGATTCTTTGAAGAGCTATAACATATGGAACCGAGCCCGGTATATGGCAATAGGCTCACCTCCTTTTACATGGGATTAACATAAATAGTGAAAAGTGGGTGTTACAGCAGTATTAAGTGCCGTAATGTGCACCCCTTTGACGATAAAAAACGTGATGTTATGTGCATCTGTTTCCGACATCAGTCAATCCCGAGAAATTGCCAGTGAAATTAAGTAGTTTCCGTGTTGTAATATTGTATGTTTGAGTTTTCAATATAATCTTCTGTCTCAGAGCAAATATGTTAATACAATGTCTCTCTCGGTACGATTTCCTTCCGCACACTGCAGGCAATATTTGTTTGTTCTTTGCAGTTGAATGGATGTTGTACTACAAATATAATCTAACTTTATCTTTATTTGTACCTTTAACTTATTTATTTCTTTCATAATAAAATGTTCATTTTCAGTACTTTGGAAATTGATTCGTCAGATAGCACACACATCCAACTACCTACCGACTTTAATAATATCATTATACGGCGGCTCAATAATTACTCGGATTAAAGATAATACAATACTTGCAGACGGTTGCGTGTCACGTTACAAGAGCTGGACACGACAAACACACCCACACACACACATTATTATGATTTCATTCCTCATACAATGGTATGGTACATAATGGAATTGAATTTAACACTCTGACAGCAGGGAGTTAAAACACTAGGTTTTACTATTTGAAACAAATGTTTGACATATTCGCTTGTACCTAATATTGAGCGGAAAGTTGCACAATGCAGCGGACATGAATGCTAACGGTTACAAAGTTTGAAGCTATGAGGAGCTGCAGCAACCCGCTGACTGCACAAAGAACATTGTTCTAAGTTCCTATGTGGAGCACTCGTGGGACAGCGGACGGAGAGACGCCGCATTGTACTCACCGAGCCTTTTGAAAGAGAGGAGCGCTCTCACCGTCCTCCACATGGTCTATGGGTCGTGTGGCGACATCTCACGGGATTCACGGGTGACGCAGCGTCACAGCACGGTGAAGTAGTAGTCGATCACATGCGCCACGTAGAAGAGCACGCAGGTGGCGATGTACATGAACACGAGTATCTGTATCAGCATGGTGCTGCGCCCGCGGCCGCGCTCCGACTGACCACTACCCGCCAGCGAAGCCCTACTGCAAGGTGAATGCTGAACAAATGCCAATTACACAATGATCCGTCGTTACGTAAAGTGATACGTGTCTGACAGCTCCTGTAAGTCTGTGCGGGCGGCATTGTTGTGTCGCGAGCTAATAGCTTCGAGTTACTCGGAAATGCGACGCGTGTGATCGATCGCTCCCCGTGTGAATGTAATTGATCGGGCGACACGTTGTTGTGACGGCTGCTGTGCTACCTACAACTGTCGACATCATAACTCGCGACATACAATCGACGGTCAACACAAACATTTCACATGTTACTGTTGTTCTGAATACAGCCCCGACCCCGACCTTTTCGGCATTATTTCCGTATTGTGTTGTCCTACAAACATGTCGTCAGTTGATGAATGTTCCGGCCGCGCTCGTGATGTGATGACTCTATTTATTGACTCGACGGCGCGTCGCGTTCCGCCCGGGCCTCCCAGAGCCATCAGACCACCACAGATGGGGCCCAATAGGGCCGCCGAGATGCCGATTCGCAGTCGCGTAGAACCTAACGGGTAACCGGGGCTCCGGCTCGACGTGCAGGAGAAGGAACGGGGTGGTTTTTAGTCAATAAGAGTCTGACACTGCCTCTCGCCTCACCCAGGCGGGAGCAGTCATTCGATGATTTTCCCCCCTTAAAAAAATATTGATTCGACTCCACATCCGTGCAATGTTCTCGTTAATAACGTTATTTATATTTGACTGCACGGTCGGTGTGACTAGGTAACTGGCTGCCGCGCAGTGTGAAGTGCAACCTTTTTGTTAGATCCAGAAATTGATATTTCAGGTCTGGGTGTCATTGTATATGTGAATTTGTATGTTTGTAAAGGCACTCACGACGCAGGAGAAAATCTTAATGTGGAGCAACGTTTAAAAAAATGTTATATTGTAGTTCTAAGAAAATTTTCAATGACGTCACTTTTATATTATTTATTTACGTGATTGTTGGAAAATTCATTGCACTATTATGTGACGTATACAAAAAGAGGATCACTACTGGCATTCGTTTGTAGACACAACATAATATTCGGGATATTTATACGAATTTCGTAAATAATAAAATAGGACACACCTACTCATTAATAAGAACTTATGTCTTATACGTAGGTACAAGTATTAAGTAGTTGTACTTATATTACAAGTTCAAAATGAAACAAGATGAATGTTTCGAATGTAACAAGATGAACGCTACATTAGGTCGACAACAGCTCCATACATCACATACATCAAGTTATAATCCTATTAACATCTGAACTTAACGTACTTAGTTACCGTAGCCCGTAGCCACCCTACTACGCGGAACTCAGAACTAAGCTCGGTGGCTACGGCGTAGCATTGTGCTACGGGCTACGAGCGGCTAATGTGCCGAGGCACTTTGAGCGGCTCTCGCTCGTGGCGATTGTGTTGAATGTTAGTTAGTTAGCCGCTAGAGGGAGCCACAATGATGTTGCTATGACATTATGTATTGGTATGTAACCAGACACCGTTTGTTTGTACTACATAAAGCATTATGTATTATGAAAATAATGAGTGTAGGATTATATAATTAAGTTCGGTATATTTTCGTCCATGAAATACGTATTTTAATTACTAAATCATACATACAAAACATTTATTTGAGTTTTTCGGTATGAACATGTCAGTCGGGAGTATAAGATAAATATTCGATGTATAGTATACATAGAAAATAAAAAATAAAACGACCGTATTGAGAACCTCCTCCTTGGGAAGTCGGTTAAACATAATATAATATAACATCACGCTTTTTTAATCCCGAAGGGGTAGGCAGATGTGCACATTACGGCACTTAATGCCACTGTACAATGTAACACCCACTTTTCTTATAATAAGGGTGAGCCTATTGCCATATACCGGGCACAATTCCAGACTACGTGTTACTATTTAGATTGTTTTTGTTACGACTAAGATTTTTTTTAAAAACACAGTAGTAGTTTGTCCGACCCGGGCATCGGACCCAAGATCCCTTGCCCGGCAGTCGCACTTGCGACTACTCGGCCGATGAAGCAGTCGGTTAAAATACCTAACTTTGCTAAAAGTCAGTAATTTACTGTTTGGATTTATTGGATACTAGGAGTTGCCCGCGACTTCGTTTGCGTGGAATTGTGATTCACAGCTCCACCCCCATAGAAGATAGCGTGATAATATGTAGCCTATATGTTGAGCCGACCTGTTAGTCATATTCATGGAAAAAATTGAAGTAAATCCATGTAGTACTTTTGGAGATCATCCCGGACATATATACAGACAAAAATGAACAGTTTTGACTTTTCTACGATTTTATTATACCTATAGTATGTATAGAAGATGACGTAATGAATACACAGAATGATGCAGTCCATCGATTATTTAATTAGGTGCGAGTAATATTCATAACTCATTGTAGTAATTGGCGGTCAGCGGTAATTGGGGGTGCGGTAAACCGTAACAAACCGTAACTTGGAAATGTTTCACGAGCTGCCCGCCATGCTGCATGTTTGACTGTTTATCTAAGTCTGATTAAATGGCCAATAACTCTGAATGCCTCGTCTATGTAATGTACAATTTACATATTATGTATCGTGACACAAAATCGCATTTATTACGCGTAGTTTTAAAAAATATGTCTATAAAATTAACTACAATATAGAATCAGTAGAATAAAACAGTTCAGGTACTTTTTTAATGATGTAGATTTTTACATTCTACCGAGTTATATGAAACTCCAGAAAAATATATTAAAAAAAAAACAAACGAAATTTTACAATAAAGGCAATCAAAACAATGTTTTCAAAAGCAGATATTTACAAACAAACAAAATAAGAAATAAAAAAAAACATTCCGATCGCTCGAACAACTTCGCAAAGGAAACAAACAATATGACATTCCGTGTCTTGTAAAATGCAAAAAACCGTTCAGAAAAAGCAAATAAAAGTTAATTGGAGAGGCAGCGAGGTAAGGGAAGTGGGATCGTGTCCGGTCGATAATATCTCGCTCAGAAACGTTATTTTCTTGGTAACCCGCGGCTGATTGAATTCCAGTCAATTTCTCAATCATTTGTCAGTTAAATCGTTTAAATAATAAATTGTTTTATCGTGTTTTCAGCCTGTTAGATTTAGCTGTGGTTGCACAAGCACAGACACACAATCAGAACATTGTTCATTGTTTATGTTTGGCTTTTGAAATGCAAATAACGAAGTTTTGCATAGGGAATTCAAAATTGTCACTGGCCAAAAAATATTGCGATATAATTTAGGCAATCGATGAGCTCGATCTTTAAAATTATGCTAATTTTACCTACAACGGACATAATGCCATTTACATCGTATAATTGCAAGTTATCAACCAAAATACTCACTAGTCCTTTGTTGTCCATTAACGACAGTAGTCCGTGGCACAGCGAGCCGGTCGCCATTGTTGTTGTTCACATGCTGCACCTCCAGCTCCACAGCCTCCGAGCCTCCGGGCCATGCCATCGCGCGGCACACAGTACATCACTCGCTCACTACCACATCACTGACACTCGCGCGAACACAACACGCAATGTACACTTGAACACAAATTGTAGTCGATGCACCAATGTCCAGCCTTCACGTTACGATGGTTTGTGTCGATTTAGTTTATTTTGTGCTGTTTTTGTTTTGTTGTGTTTATAGAAACTGTGAGTATAAAATTACCTGCAGATAAATTTAGGTAAAATATTGTTATGGATTGTTTTGGCATCCTGAGCTCACTACCAGCGTCTTTGTTAACCAATAGGCCGTCTGGCCGTCATAGGTACGAACTCTAATTTCTAAGTAGGTAAAGAACTATGTTTTAATTTAGGTATTTTACTTTCGTAAATTCTGTTATGTAACGTAGTCTTATCCTTTAAATATCTTATTAACTACACTACTTTGTAGATTTTTATGTCTTTTTCAAATAAAAACAAAGAATGAAATGTTGCTGATTAATGCAGCTTCCACTACGAGGAAAGTTCATTTACATAAACACAAAATGATTTCGCTATTTTACAAGAAGTAGTAAGTAACTCTACATAACAGCTACACAAGCAGTAAATATTTTACTCAGTACTTCACTGAATTCCGTTGTAAGGTATCTCTTATATTGAGAGTGGATAGGATTGCGCGTACTCCATTACCAATAAGGATTACCCAAGTGTTGAGAGGTATGTATACTCGGAGAGTTCTCAGTATTGAACAGCTGAGAGATTTAAGAGTTAATAGTTGAAGAGTTTTTAGGGAGGAAACCGACTTTCATTGCACGGTTTTCACACATAATCTTTTATATATACTTTTCTGGACTTTAAAACAGACGACCCTCTGAGTTTGTTACGTCATTTCTTCTTAGAGTAGCCAGTTAAGAAATGTCGACCTCATCGTTCATTTGAAAAATTGACGTGAATAAGTGCTGCCTTGTAGCCTATTTGCAGAAATAAATTCACTTGTTTCACTGAATCTTCAACGGGAAAATTAAAAAACAGTGCCCAAACAAAAGAGGAACTCGAGAATAGATTAATTTTATTAGAACGACTAATGAGATCTTGAGTTCCAAGGTAATAAAATAATGTATTCATCAAATAACAACTGAGTAAGAATTATCCCACTTTGAACGCTTTGAGCAGAAAAACATGAATTCAATTGTTGTATAAATATGATAACAAAGGTACCTAATTGATTCAGTGAAAATATAAAGGCTCACAGATGATATCTTAGACAAGTGTACTTAGATGAACGTAATGTTCGTGGAATACTTTGAAGATACCATTTCAACATAGCAACAATTAATATTGCTTTAAGAAAACGCGATTCAGATTCAAACTAGAATAAATAGTCATAAAATGCCAGACGATCTAGTAAAACATTAGGCTTCCAAAATAGTTTGTACAATAATTGCTTGAAATTAAATTATTCAGTATCCATGCCGCTTTAGATTTTATTAAAACAGAGTTCTATCAAGATCTCACTCAAGCATTATTAATTTCCAAGATTAAAATCAAGTTCATAAATAGGTAATTGTAATTTTTCATTGAAAGTTAAAACAAAGTTACACAAACGGTACCACCGTTCTATTTTAATATACTTCTACAATTTCTATTATAATTACTTCGAAGAAAACAATTATTTAAATTGTTAAATTAAATTTTACAAGAATACGTGTGTGCACTGCTGTATCACAGCACCCATTTTATCTTATTCCGCCACTAACATCATACAGACATGATATAAAAATAACTAGAAATAAGTGGCATGTTATGACGTTATCAAGTGAATCAAATTAGCACATATACATACAATACCGTCGTTACCATAAGGGCACTCGGGGCCCGGGCCCAGGGCCCCCACGAAGGACCGACAATTTCTACCACGGACACCGACCCGCTACACGTTACGCGGCAACCGGCTACCCCGCAACGTGTAGGGGGTTCGATTCCCGAAGGAGCAAATCTTTATGTGATCCACAAATGGTTGTTCCTGGTCTGGGTGTTTTATGTATATGAAGTTGTATGTTTGCAAATGCACCCACGATACAGGAGAAAATCCTAGTGCAAGAGCAACGTTTAAAAAAGGAAACATTCTACGAGAGCTCCGAATTATTGTGCCCAAGGGCCCCCGCGGAGTCTACGACGGCCCAGCATACATACTCACACTAATCCAAGCTACACGTGTTTTCCAACACATCGATATAAAAATGTGCGACTAACAAGCCGTTTGTTAACGTCAAAGGCACGCAATAATGTTGTGAGATACAAACTGGTAGTGTAGTGAACTGGAAGTGTCGCCTCGTGTCACTACATCACTACACTCACCTCACTCACTCACTCAGCACTCACTGTACTTGATCACGTGTCGGATATTGTTAGGACCTGAGATTGGGTGTGTTAGTTGTTTGATATAGGTAATGGTATAAGAGGTCAGTATCTAAGCTTATATAGGAAAGGTTAAACTTTCAGTAGTAGGTATACAAAGACGTAGGGTTCGCGCTCGATTTATTGAATGTCTACCTCTATTATATACCTACCTTTTGTTATCTATTATGTGTATGTAAATTTGTTTCTGTAAAGCTGTTTTTTCTTATGCTTTCACACCTAAATAATAAAGTAGATTGTAATGAATTTTGACTTAAGGATAGACATTTGGATGTTAGACTATACGAATTGATTCATTGTAAGTATCTATTTAAAGCAACCGAACCATTGTAGGAAATAAGTGAGAAATCATAAGTGTTTTACGAAACAAAACCGAATTAAAAACAAATACAAATATGTTAGTACTTATAAATAAGTTAATAGAAGTCTATTGCTGTGCATCGCAAGCAAATTCTATTCAACATTATCAATAAGTTCCCTATCAATATACATATATACAAACTACGTACCACACGCGACATATAAAGCGATAAGTTGTTCAATATAAAAGCAATTTTACAATCTGAAGCTATTGTCAGGGTGGCGAGCGAGGACCGAGCACAGAGGACCGAGGAGCGAGGAACGAGGACGGAGTACTGATAACATCGCCTTCCAAGTACCGTTACAGACTTGCAGAATGTTGTAGATACAGCTGCTACTGTACAGATACAGGACAGTGTCAGTAGACACTGGTTTTTAAGAAGTGAAGCTATAAGAGGTCAAAGAAACACTTCTGTTTACTTCTACAGAGAATAAGATACTTTATAATAAATAATTTAATTTATACAATTACAGTGGTTGAGTGAGCGACTGTTCCACGAGGATACTGGCAAGAAGGTCTGCGTGTGAGTGGCATGTTTGACATTTGTCTTTAAATATAACTACAACATTCTCAACACAGGAACGCACAACTAAGCATCTTTTACTTTTTCGACAAAAATAGGAATATTAATTTGACCTAGCCTATAGTTAGACCTATACACAATAGGGGATGACAGGGTATGAAAATTAAAAATCGAATTAGGTAATTAAAAAATATTAGAAACGTATTTTTCATTTTGTTGTATAATAAAATGATACTTAGATATAAACAATCAAAGTTTAGGTGGGGGCTAAAACGTCAGTTCTACGTATAAAATGTACATAGAAGTGACGTCACGCAACGTTTCAAATCAATATATCGTCGAAAGTATATTCGTTTCGGTAAAAAAACCGGAGGGACATTAAAATAAAAATTAGTGATCTATCCTATTCAGGTGACAGCTTTTAACCCCCATAAATAATGACTTCACATTTGTAATACACGTCACACGTGTATACAGCCTTTGATACAGTTACGTCTCTATGTTACCTTGTTACCTAATATCACTCTAATGAGTTGAGCTCCTGACAGCTCAAGGTGGTGACGTCATACTCATAACTATGCCACGAATGTACTTCAGTATAAGACATTATATCTTACATGTGAATGATAATAAACAATGTTTGTTCGTGTATGTATTTGTTTGTTTTGCTACATTTGTAACAGAAGTTCTAAAAAACAATTTGTGAATTGGACGTTTTTGTCTGTGTTAATCATTCCTTTAAATTGTATTCTCGTTGTTTTATTAATCAAAATGTGTTAATGAAAATGCTGCGTCATTTTCTCAAATACCGAGTGAACAAAATTCATTTCTTTATTGGGAAAAGAAGTGTATATTATTTTACTAAACACGTGTTAAGTGTGGGAGAGCAACGCTTCGGCGCAAATGGCTCGGCTCAACCAAAGTGATACCACGGCTTCACATAAAACCGACGTGAAGCAACGTTTGCGTTGTATTTCTTCTTGTGAGTGAGGTTACCGGAGGCCCATTTACCCCCCTCTCGTCTCCCCCCTAACCCTGAATCCCCCACAATCCTCAAATTCTAAAAGGCCGGTAACGCACTTGTAACGTCTCTGGTGTTTCAGGTGTCCATGGGCGATTGCTTACCATCAGGTAATCCGTCTGCTCATTTACCGGCTTATCCCATAAAAAATAAATAAAACGTTAGTAAAATAACAACATCAATAAAACTAATGAGAAATTAAAAATCCTGAATTTTTTACTCTGTACGCGACTGATAACAGTTCTAGAAAGACTGTATAAACATACAATGTCTTATTTATTAAAACTTAGAGATTTAATAAATAAGACATTTATGATAACATATGCACATTTATGCATCTGTATCCAAGTAGTAAGTATGCATATTTGCATCAAGTTACTAGTTTGTAAGTTGCTGTGAAGTGCAGCAGACCAGCTAAGCTGATAGTGTATGCGGCGCTAAGCTCGTTGCGTCTCTTATCTGCCTTATACATATTGCCTCCAGTTTGCAAGCGTTTTAAACTTTTACAAGTGCTATTTGGTAAATGAGGCTTTACTGGGTGTTGGGAAGCTCATCCTAATACTACTGATATACATAAGTACATGTTTATTATGTTAAGACTTGGTTACTATGTAGTATGTTGTGGTTTCCAAGAAGTTTGATTATGATTGCCATATATGTGTACCTACAGATCATATGCAGGTGTATGAGTGAATAAGATAC